AGAGACAGCCCCCATCGGCACCCCCATTTCAAGACTTCTAGATACGCCACTGATTCTGTATTCTGTCATGAATGGCCTATTTAGCTTCGACCAACATAATAGAACAACACAGCATAATATACCATAGTACCGGTCCGACCAATAGCAACCATTTTAACATTACTAAGCTACCTAACCGACAAATATAATAATAATAATAATTCTGGATTTATATAAGACTTACTATAACCAATAACATTTACAATATATCATTAATTGGGTCCTATTTACCTGATTGTAAATAATTAATAACGCAATTGGAACTGTCGGGTTTAGATATTGCGACTGTTATGGCCGTCGTCCTCACACCACTACAATGTTCTGTATTATGTGTATGATGTGGGGCATAACAATTACAATACAGCATTCAAAAAATCAATTCTAGCAAATAACATAGAGCTTTTAAAGAAAAATACGGCATTAGTAAAACTTAAAGTGAGTTAAAAAACATTGATAAACATAGAAAGTGCCATTTCCGGCCATCTTAGATTAGAGGTGCCATAATCATATTTATTTTCACCTCAGCTTCAACCATGGTGGGGCTGAGGTGCTATAGACCCTACATCTATGAATGTCCCCTCCATTGCCACATTTCCCCCACCCTGTATTTCAAATTCCTGGAACCGCCACTGCTTATTATACAGCTATTGTTGAAATGGTAGGCCTACTATGTATTTCTGTAATATTAAGTGAGATACCATTTCATAATCCAATAGTCAGACAAGTTCAGTAGGCAAATAATGTATCTTGGCATGGTAATTCCAAAAATAATACCTATTTATATTAGTTTAATTAGCTTATGTAGAACGTATACGAACCTGGGATCTACGGCACATACGTCTTCACGTTACAGGCTCAATTACGCTACTAAATGACGTTATAGACTGGCTTGCGCGTATACCATGTAGCTATTTATAGCCGCATGGAAAATACATTCTCAGCAATACACGTTAAACTGGTTTTCCACTAGGCGAATTTATTCGCACGAATCGAAAGCGTCGGTTCATGAGCATGCATATTCACATTCCTATCGGAGTTTTGCGAAGCGAAAAAATGCGCAACCAATTAGAGCGGAAGCGAAACGCTTTGATTCGTGCGAATAAATTCGCCTAGTGGAAAACCTATGGCGGTTCAACTGTGTCATAATTACTACACTTACGGATACTACACGTACTACGCGTACTCGTTAAACCAATAGACCTTTCCGCTAAGCCCTGCCCCTTGGATATTGTTGCTAAGGTCCCACAAACAACATCATTTTGTAGAAGAAAACATGGCTGGCTGTGCGGTCGGCGATTTTTTTTCCGTACTAAACATTTACATGAAACTTCACTCGGGCCATCTCGGATTGACTCGAGTAAGTACGATACGAGGAACAAGATTAAACACTTCGCAATGTCGTGACGCTCGAGTTTTACTATTACCGTATTGCTCTTTTTATGTTTACCTACGGTAGGCCTATGAAATCTCACGGACTTATGGGATGTACGTGTGTAACTAACTGTGACCTTCTTGGATGTTAGGCTAGAGAGAAAGAGGCCTAACAGGCTGAGATCTTACCTAGGCCCCTCATTAAACTAGGCCTAGGGTCATAGGCTGACACCAACATACTGACATTGACTGACATTTTTTGGGGGAAAAATAGGACAAAATTGAAGCATGAAATAAAAAATAGAGCGCATAAGAGAAATATTATTAAATAAATAATATACCATTCCGGCGTTATTGAACTTGTCCAAACTATCATTGTAATGTAAATGTTAAATAATAATAATAATAATAATAATAATAATTTCAGCATTAATTACCTTGGCCTAAGCCTTGTAATGAAGAACCTGCAGATACCGTACTATTTACTAAACCTATAAATAATAATCGCCCAAGGGGAATATCTTTTGTGTTATTTCCCCTTAACGTTGTTTTTTTAATTGTTCTCTAATTCCTCCATTGTCTAAGTTCCCCTTAAGGTACAGGTAATAATAATAAATAATAATAATAATAATAATAATAATAATAATAATAATAATAATAATAATAATAATAATAATAATTTCAGCATTAATTACCTTGGCCTAAGGCTTGCAATGAAGAATCTACAGATACTATTTACCAGGCCTATAAATAATAACTAGCCCAAGGGGAATATCTTTTGTGTACTTCCCTTTAACGTCGTTTTTTAAATTGTTCTCTAATTCCTCCATTGTCTAAGTTCCCCTTAACGTACAGGTAATAATAATTA